GAAGCCTTTTGCCTCAGGTCTTGGCCCCCAAAACCCTGCGCCCTTAGTAAGATATGCAGTTTCAAGAACCCTAAACCATGAACCTCTCACTGTGGGGTATGGGAGAACCTTGAAATTTTCTCTCTCTGAAAACGAAACAAAAAAGATGCGGTCCTGCTCCACGGGCTTTTTAAAAGCAAACCAGGCTCCAAGCTGCTCAGACTGCTTAGACTCCCTTTCCCCCTGCTCAAATCTTCAGGCAGCCTGAGCTAGTGAGAAAAAAAACCATGGATAAGCTAGGTGTGCAGGCTTCGGCTCTCACAACCAGCACAATGCACGCAAGGCTCCACAACGAGTCGGAAAGTTTTAGGGGTTAGGGTTTAGGGTTTACGGCACTACACAAAGACCACGGACTGTGAGGCACCCAACAAGACCCGAACCCAACCCAATAGAAAGCAACGCCAAGCGTGTAACTAAACTTCGCACTCCGCGACACAAGGTTTAAAGGCTCAGGGTATAGCGATCCGCTTAGCTAAGCAAATAGCTCTCCGGGATTTGCACCATTACAGTGTTATTGTTTAGGATGCAGGGATTAGGGTTCATGGAAACCTTAAATCCTAAACCCTGAACCGCCTGAACGAGGGTTTAGGATTGATAAGGGTCTTAAGAGCTGCTAGTCTTTGCAAGCCAGCTCTGAGCCGCAAGACAACAGGAACCCAGTGCCTCGCTGGTGGTCATGTACTTGTATGCCTTGGCAGAGGCTCAGGGTTCGCATGGTTGAAGAATGGGTTTTCTCCCTCCTACATAGCAAGGACGAGCCCCAACATTGCAGGGTTACTTCAGCTCAGTGGGGTCTGCAAACGACGGTGGGCAATCAAACAGCCGTCTTGACAGTCATTCAACATCACCAACTACAAGCACTCCAATACCGTGCAGCCATCAAGGACCACCGGGCAAGGAACAAGTTTTTTGGGTTTCTTTGAGTTTAGGCTTTAGGGCTCATGGGGTTTGAATCTGTTTACGGCTGAAGACTTTTGGAGGCAGGCGGGTTAAGACGAGGGATCACACAGGCAACAGGTCTCTGTTGCTGCGTCATCGTTTCGTCGTAGCCGGGATGCATTTGACTAGTGGCCCGACGTCAATGTTGTGAGCCTTCTCTGGGGCTGTTGATGAGAGAAGACATGCCGACAAATCTCTGAAGCATTGCGCATGCTGCACTCTCATCCGTTCCGAGACCGGCGTTTCAGAGACGGAGGGGTGCAAAGACCCCATCTGCTAGGAGCCATTAAAAAATCACTAAACACAACCCCAATAAAGCACACCTCCATGGTAGTTTTAAGACACCCCCGGCACGGGCCGCCGGCTGCAGAGAAGTCCACTAGGACGAAATCTGCAACGTCGCTTCCTTCGTCCACCTGCGACAAAAAATTCGCTACTCAATGGCTCAAGAAGGTCGCTAGGCCCGAAACCCTCTAAAGACCACGAGCTAAAATCATGTGAAAACTTAAGACCCCTGAAATATCTCAGAAGGCCCACACCCTCAAAGTCTGAACACCCCTTCCCCGAGAGTGAAGCAGAAAATAGCTAAATTAACTAAATCCTGAACCTGGGTGCCGAAGTCCATCCATTTTCACCGCTTTCATCAGATTATATAAAGTGCGATGCCTCACACGAGATGCGCTGCCAGCTTGAACCGGTAGAACGCAGTCAACGACATAGAAGTACACTAAGACAACACAAAGACGGTTCCCTTTTCCTTTCATAGATCGAAGGAGCCTGTGCTACATAATCAATGTATAAACCTCTGACTAGTAAACTCTCTTTCTTCACGGGCCTCTATATTAGGATTCCTACAGTATTAGATCTCTAAGGTGGGGTTTGTTAACGAGGGGTCTACATTGCAGCCCGGGCCCCCAAACACAAGCCACATCGCGGCCTTCCCGGCCATGCGCAGCTTGTCTGGTGTCCGATAGGACATGTAGCGCTCCGGCCAGAAGGCAGCTGGCAGCAAGAGCAGGAAAGAGAGAGGGTCTGCTGTTCTGGGTTCGGAGTGCAGAGAGCAAGCTGGAAACCCCCCAAGCTCTAAAGACTAAGGCTTGAGTTCGAGGAACAAAATGCTCAGGCATTAGGCATTGGCATCGACTTCCGGGCATATACCGATCGTGCGGCATTCACAGGATCTACTCCGCAAAGACGACAGGATCAAGGGCTCAGGAGTCCAGGCTCGGGGACGAGAGCGAGGCCCTCTAGGTGATCCGCCGATAAGGCGTAGGGACTACAGGGTGCCACTGATCGATGGCTGGAATTATTATAGTGCCCAAGTAGGTGCGGTGTAAGTGTGTCAGACTTTGTGCAGCGCACAACAATGCGTTATACTTTCTGCTATGTGCGTGGCATCCTTTCCGATCTGAGCCCCCGAGTTCTCGCCACCTTCGAAGCGAAAAGCGCCCTGGCTGAAGGGACTTGCGCTAACCTCGGAAGAACGAAGGACTTAGGGCCGTGGCTTCAAACAACTGAAAACCCCCACTTCTTCTGGGTGCACAATGTTATGATCAAGCTTTGGGCCATTGGGCATTTCAGCTCATGGCCCGAATCAACAACAAGTAGGTTATGTTAGCTTAAGGTAGGGGCTAGACGTCAACTTGAAGTCTAGAGCTCAGGGATTTGGTGGGATTCCGGCTTCTCCTGTCTCGGGAAGGTGTGGGTGTTCAGGGTTTGGGGCTTAGGGCAGTAGCTTGCAAGACTAATGGGGTTGTAAGTGACTTTAACAACATATCCCTCACGGGGAGCCTCGTTGACCAAGTTCACTGCTCCTCGGAACAGTTGGAGATCAAACTTTCTCGACCTTAACAACCTAAACCCGATAACCTAAGCCCTATAAGGCCCAAACCTAGCCTAAACAACCTCATTGCACCCGGTAACCTAAACCCTATAAGGCCTAAACCCTTAACAACCGAGTTAAAGCCGATAACTCATACCCTATATAAGGCCCAAACCTAGCCCAAACAAAGCCTTTCCGAGGCGCGAGGCTTCTGAAACCTCGCTCGCGCTCAGTGGCTTGGCCGGGCTCCCGGCGATGAGATTGCATCTCTTCATCTCCTGCCAGGGTTTCGGGTTTTTTTTTCAGGTTTTTTTGCCGGTTAGGGTTTAGGGTTTAGCCAGGGTTTCAGTATCGGGTTTAGGGTTTAGGGTCTAACTTCAACCACCAAAACCTGGCTTGTTGTAGCTATGTTGGTAGACCCCGAAAAGCATAGAACTTAACAAGCTAGGCTCTTGTCTTGTAGACCCCCATACCCCATACCCCTAAACCCTTAAACCCAATATCCTAAACCCAGCATCGAATTTCTAGGGTCCCGAGCCAGAAGCTGGGGTTGGGACTTTGGGGGTGGCAGTCCCAGCCCAGAGCTTCCAATATCCCCCGTTGATTTAAGGGAATATACCTGAAACTATCGGTAGGATCCCTACTATGAGTACAAAAAAAACATTCCGTAATTCTTAGAGTGCCCGTAAGAGGAACCCTTGTAGCTCAGAAACCTAAACAGGTATATTATCCCTAAACCCTATAAACCCTAAACCCCTCCTCAATTACGGGATCTTGGAAGGCTCTGGCCGAGCTGGTCCGAATCGAAAAGTCCGGGGCTGCAAGGCTGTAGTGGGCTCAGTTTGGGCTTAGGGCTCTGGGTCTTTAGGGTCTGGGATTTAGGGTCCTAAACCCTACAAACCCTGTAGGGTTGAGGGAGCCCTTAGTCTAAGTCCAAGAGGTCGACAAAACTCCTTGTGGTTGAAGATGTAGGGGCAGTAGAACCATCTTCAGGCAACTATTTAATTCCATACGACCCCTGTCGACCCCATATCCTAATCCGATCTGTCTGCCAACACAAAATTGAAAAGACTGCTGGAAGGAACGTCTCACGTACTTCCCTGCAGGAGCAAAGCATGTGCTCAAGCTCGAATCTAGAGGACATGTTGGATATCCTATGGTAGACATATATAGGTAGAGCATCAGGGAATGCAGCTGGAGTGAACCATTCAAGGTGCCCCCCCTTGCCCCCTCCCCCCCCCGATCTCCACCAGATCCACAAGCCCCAACACCCTCGCAAGCCGACTCTAGTTGCTAGCCTATAAGTCCCCATTTATATTGTAGATCCTTTTTGAAAGGATCCTAAACATGACTATAGGGTTTAGTGTTAAGAACCCTCACCACTATCAAGCACTGAACCCCTAATTATATAGGCACCAGAACCATAATCCATAAAATCTCACACCCGAAGGCCCAAAACCCTATAGCCAAGAATACCCCCCCTCCTGGTCGGCAGAAAGGTCGCACACAGATTCTGCCGTCTCGTCCTCTTCCTGCCCTGCACAAATCATCTTTGCCAGGAGCTTTTAGGTTTGAGGGGCTTGATTGTTTAGAGTAAACGTTCCTTGTTGGGGAGCGGTTCGGGTTTACACTCTGATGAGGCTAGGACACGCCAGGTTGCAAAGTAACTTATTGCCAGTCAGGGTTACATGCGAGCACACAACGGACATCGCTTCAGGCACAGCGTTGTGTCTGCTAGGCGCTCAACCCCAATAGGCCTACACCCAAGCAATGGCTGGAGCAAGTTTGAGACATGAGGAGCGGCGCTTGAGAGACCAGTGCCAGCTTGGCATTCAAGCGCCTCCCTCACAGAAACCTATGTGTGTATAATATATATATATATATTTATAATATATATATTATATATATATATATTGAGCATGCTCCTGAGGTCCTCTGTGTGCAGGTGCAAGTGTGACGAAGCCATGCTGGCTGGAAAGGTTCTGGGGTATGGGGCTAGGTAGCGGCTCTTCTAAATCCCCGGATGATCTAATGACTTCTAGGTTCGCGCAACATGTGCAGAAGCTATGATTCTGGGGCAATCCCTGTACAGCCCAGGTAGCTAGAGCACAAAAGACTTCACTTGTTGTTTGCCGCGTTCCCTGAAAAAGAGTTCGAGTCTTCGTTGCCTGCTCTCGCCTGCTTCATCTTTGATGAGCAGGTTATGAGCCCAAAGGCTCTGACCACTGCGCCATGGATTCCGCGGGCTCAGGTTTAGAGCCGACCTATGAAGCAGAGGAGAGGCAGGATGTGTCCGGGGCCGGAAGGGTTCCAGACTCCACGAGTGACACCGCTGCAGATGAGAATAGGCTGGCTCAGCAAGACGTGACGTCTGCGCGTGGGACTGGCTACTTTGTTGATCAGACCTCAGATGAGCAGGCGGCAGCGGATGTGCTGGCTCGAGCTGATGGTTTGGAACCAGAGTATGATTTTGAGTCTGCGGAGGGTGGCGTGCATTCCCCGGAGAGAGATGAGCTGCAGCAGGATAGGCTGCTGGGTTTATCTGGCGATCGGGAAGAACAACATGGAGCCGGAGCGGCTCACTCTCACGTGGAGTCTGCGAGACTGGAGGGAAGCTCTGGCTTGAGACAGCGTGAGGTTGAAGAGCGATTTCCAGGACGAGGTCGCGAGACAGCTATGCTGAACGGAGGGCCAAGACCTGGGAAGGGCCGTGGAAACCCATCTGTGTTTTCTGGTTGGGAAGAAGCTGGATTTACAGTACAAGCTCCACAGGAGGCTCAGGGAGTAAGCCGAGTTCAGCCTGGCAGCGTACCACTGGGCGGTGAGGCAACGAGGATGGAGCATCTGGAGTTTCTAGTCGAACAGCTGCTTGAGCAAAATGCGCAGCTGAAGCAGGAGAGACTGGATGTCCAGCGTCGAAGTTCAGCTGACTGGGATGTAGGATGGGCAGGCTCTGTACATAGTGAGGGTAGAGTCCAGGATGAAGGTAGAAGTTTCACTGAGTGTAGGAATGCAAGATCATCTGGGGAGTTTCGGTTGAAAACAGGTAAGGGTATCGGTTCTAGTGGTGATGATGGTTGGGCCCCTACTCTTAGAACCTTCAAGCCTCCATGGACTAGCTTCGCGCAGTCAGAGGACGTACGTGCACCACCCTTGCCAGCCGTAGGCCCAGGTGATAGGTTCTTAGCTGCGACAAGGGCTATGCAGCAATTGAACATAACGGATCCTCGGGGCCTGGAGGGTCCTGATGTCGAGATGTGTGGCTCAGCTCGGGAGCCCTGGCCTATTCCAACCGGGACCAGCTGTGCAGGCATGCCTCAGTTCAGCAGTGGTAATGCAAGACCGAATCTCGAGTGCGCCAAGCTGGAGAATCAGAGAGTCGAGACCCGAGAGGAGACTTCTGCTGAGGTACCGGTTTCGGTTACGGTAATGGTTAATGGGGTTCCTAGGAAGGGTATCTTCAATGCAAAGGGTGAGGTTGTCCTTCAGTCAGAACAGCCAAAATACTTCGCAATAGAGGATGGGGACCAAGGTGCAAAGGAAACTGGCAATCCTTTTGCTGCGAGTGCGCCGACTCCATTCAGGTCTCTTTCTCCCGTTGAGCGTCAGAAACCGCAGGCGCCTCCACCACCGCCTCCGCCACCTCAGGTGTCGCCAACCGGGGCATGCCATGGGCAGTACTTTAGGGGTGCTAGGGTAGGAAGTAGGTCCCCCTCGGGTGCTAGGTCAGGGTACCCTAGAAGGCCTAGTAGGTCACCCAACCCTAGCCCGCCTAGAGTGCCAGCGCAGGTTGTTGGATATGCTAACGCATCACCGGCTACACCAGGCGGTACTAAGGTTCCCAAGGTGCCACCTCCAGCTAGTCCTCCCCGCGAGTTGCAGAGGGATGCCACTGTGCGAGCCGCTGATCTTGAGGGTCGTCAGGTGTTAGAGGAGGGTGAGGCAAAGGATTTTAGGCCAGGCGAGAGAACGTTGTGGGAGTTACCAGTTCTGGGACCAGTTACTGATCCCAATCCGGCTATGCGGTTTAGTGACTGGGTTCACAAGGTGACGCCATTTTTCAACGATCTTGCGCCGAGGGGTCATGAGTGGTGGCAGCGAGTGATCTTGGAGGCTAAGGCTGAGTATGATAGGTGGTGTAAAGCGAAGCCACTTGACAGATCGAAGCTGTTGTGTAGGCCCAGTGCTACTCTGCAGATGGAAAGGTTTGTGAGGATTGAGGCAAGGGGTGTGGCGATGTTGACAAAGGCCCTACCGTCTAGTTTGTATGAACAGGCGTTGAGTCTGCGAAGCGTCACATGTACATGCTTGCTGTTTCTCGCGATGAGGATGTTTCAGCCTGGGGGTTTGTCTGAAAGGTCTGAACTTCTGAAGGGGCTTACAGGGCTTCCAGTATGTGACACCGCATCTAGCGCGGTAGCTGCTTTGCAGAAGTGGTTTCGGCATCTTGAGAGGGCTAAGACTATGGAGATTAGCGTGCCGGACAGTTCCCTGCTTCTGGATGGGGTAGACAAGTGCATGAAGGGCGTTCTTCAAGCCAATCCCAATCTCCTGTTTCGTATCCAGGCCATTCGTATGCAGCTTCAGCTTGATACAACTCCGACTCAGGAAGCAGTGGAAGAATACACCAGGACTCTGCTTGCTGAGATGGAGTTGTTGTCTGTGTCCATGCCCGATGCAGGGAACAAGCGACAGCGCATTGCAGCGGTTACCTTAGACCCTGGAGATGATAAAGGAAAGGGTAAGAAGGGTAAGAAGGGGGACGAGGCAGGGAAAACAGCAGGTGTGGGCACCGGGAGAGGGGGAAAGGATGCACGGAAGGTTTGCCCAGCCTGGTCTACAGAAGCTGGATGCCCTCAGGGGAGGTTGTGCACTTTGGCTCACACTCCTGAACGTCCTGGGGGGTGCTGGGTGTGTGGCGGGAGTCATCACAAGCATGAGTGCAAGGCACCAGGAGGGGGAAAGGCCCCAAAGGCGGATGGGGAGACTCCTAATACAGGTGGTGATGCGGAGCTGAAGAACAAGGAAGGAAAAGGCAAGGCAACCGACCGGGGGAATCCCAAGGGTCCACGGGGGCAAGGGGGAAAGACGACGCAGAGGGGAACTAGTAGCCAGGGCGGCATCTCGGAAGCTGCAATCAAGGAGGCTGCTCAGATTCTTCAGAGTCTCCGTCTGTCAGCGGTTCGGTGTGACATCAAGAGTGCCTCGGAGGTTCTCAGCAGGGCCAATGAGCATGGCCGCAGAGGGCTCATAGACGGGGGCGCAACGGCGTGTCTGCGCACTGCTCATAGCTCGGAGAGGTCGTTGCCAACGATACCCGTACGGTTGGCATGCGGGAGCTGCGATTTACATGTCAATCAGTATGGTACTTTGTTAAGTGGGGTTCCGGTTTCGCCGATAATTTCTGTGAAGGCACTGTTACGGCTCGGTTACCGCATTGATTGGAATGCCTCAAGGTGCAGGGTATATCACCCCAAGTTTGGGGAACTTGACGTTGACACCAGCACTGGCTGTCCAGAGGTCGACGAGGGCGTTGCTTTGGAGTTAATCGACCAGTACGAGCTGTATGTGGGGCAGCATGACACAAGGGGTGCAAGGTTGAGATGTATCATTGAGGACTTGAAGACCAAGGGAACAAGGGACTTAGTGGGTTTGATGGGGGACGGGGACTCGCAGGCGGATGCGGCCTTCAGCGTGTACATTGCTAGGCTTTTTCCAGGAGTGTGCAATGAGACACTGGAGCAGTGCGTGGTATCTCTTCAAGACTCTACGGAAGAACCCCCAACCTGGAACAGAAGAACTAGGAGGAGCTGTGCTAAGTCTCAAGGCGTTGTGATCCATGCATTTTGTGGAAAAGCGAAGAAGGTCTTTGAAGCTGTTGCCCATCGGTGGGACTTCGCTCATCTGACAGTGGGGGAGTCAACCGACTTGCTGCGTGACAGTACGTATCGCTATTTGCTTCGTCAAGCCCGTGATGGTAGGGTTAGAGCCATTGTGGGGGGTCCTCCTGGTAGAACCTTCTCTGCGGCGCGACGTTTGTTTGAAAGCACAGGTCAAGGCCCTAGACCCATTAGATTGCCGGGTGAGAGCGTTGGGGCTTGTGGGGTCTTGGATTTGTCATGTCAGGAGCGGGCGCAGAGGAATGTGGATGACGTTTTGATCCTGAGGTTCTTTACTCTTATTTTGCTGTCCTTTGAGTCTAACAGGGCAAAGGGCATTCCGGAGCCGGCTTGCATAGTGGAGCACCCCTGCTCAGAGCTTGAGGTTAAGGGAGATACCGGCAATCAGTGTGATCAGGAAAGTGTTTCGCTGTGGAATACTCCAGAATGGCAGGCCATTGAGCACTGTACGGGAATGACGAAGGTCAAGTTCTTCCAGGGACCCATGGGCCACAGAAAGCGTCGCCCTACTTGCTTGGGAACCAATCTGGAGCCAGATCCGGTTTTGGTTGAGTGTGGAGTTCCGTTGGAGGTCATCGACTACATCCCTAAGAGGGATTTTGGTGTCGTTGCGGAACTTTGGACAGAGTGGGCTCCAGGCCTTGTGCAGGCAATGAGCGGCATGCTGCATCGAGGGTTTGCACTGATGAGGCATCAAGTCTCGATTGGAGGTGAAGTACGGAAGATCGATCCTGGGTTTCTGCATCATTTGCAGCAGAATCACACTCCATATCGTAACGATTGCGTTACATGTTTGAAAGGGGGAGCAAGGAGGAAGCAGCATCGTCGTGTGCTGACTCCACAGTCATGGTGTCTTTCTGTGGATACGGCAGGGCCCTTTGTTAAGGGGCGTGATGAGCATACCTCCAAGGCCCGTTATCTCATTGTGGGTGTCCTATCTGTGCCAATTCTAGCGGTGGATGGAAAAAGCGTCGATGAGCCTTGTGATGCTGATCCAGGTCCTCCTCTGCCAGAGGGTGGTGTCATTGAGGATGCTGAGTGGTTGGCGGATGGTTTGGATAAAGTAGAGGATCCTGACCCGGAGCTACCGATGCGGGAGTTGGCGGATGCTAGAGAGAAGTGGAACGAGTGGGATCGTTTGGTGAAGTCGAGTCGGGATGACTGGATAAAAGAAGCCCAGTCGGAGCATCTACCCAAGGTTGAGATTGTTGATTTCATCTACGTGGAACCTATTGAGAGAAAGACTCATGGAGAAGTCTTGACTGCAATTGGGAGGATGCATGCTCGAGCTAAAGCTGAAGGCTTCGATGTGAGAAGGTTACATTCCGATCGCGGTCGCGAGTACAACAATAAGCCTCTCCGCGACTGGTGTGCTAGACACGCCGTGCACAAAACGCTTGCAGTAGCGGAAGAACATCAGGGTAATGGCCGCGCAGAAGGGGCGATTATGAGGGTAAAGAGTAAGACTAGGACTATTCTCCAGGAGTCGGATTCTGAGAAGTATGATTGGCCTCTAGCAGCCAAGTTGGCGGCTCATGAGTTGAAGAATGCATCACGGCGAAGACTGAAGCTTGATCTGCAGCAGTCACTGCCCTTCAACACCAGGGTTCAAATCATCAGCCGTAGCTGGAAGCGGGAAACCTGGGAGTCTCGTACCTCTACTGCTCTGGTTAAATGTCCATCCGCAGATATGTCTCGTGGTTGGGTTGTGGCGACTGAAGACGACAAGCTGTTGACTACGGGGAAGCTGTTTCCTTCCATCGATCAAGGAAAAGTGTCCTTTAGCAGCACAGGCCCTGCAGTGGATCTTGATGCACCGGATTATCGGCTTAAGGGCAAGACTTCGCTGAGGTTGGTTCAGGTCCCAGAGTGGTCAGAGCCTCTTCATGCTGTGGATAAGCTTGCAAAGGGCTTGTTTGAGCAGGAGAGATTCAAACCGAAAGACCTTGCTGAATTGGCGGTTGGGTTGTCACAGCTGTCTCAACAAAGTTCTCGTATGGTAAAAGACCTTGGAGCTGCTGACCCCAAGTTGGGTAGAAGGTGTAACTTTCTTGCGGGTGCGTTTTCGTATGGGGGAATGACTGGGATTAAGAGTAGTACCAAGGACCATCCGTGGGTGACCAGGTACTTGACCGCATACATGAACAAGTACACCGATGGTCTTTATGCTGGTGTAGGATTGATTCTGAATACGGATCATGCTTTGCATCGGGACCTGCATAACCAGAAGGGGGTTTCGAATATTGTCCTTCCGGTGGTTACGTCTGGGGGAGGTCTGTGGCTCCAGGACTCTCAGGCGGAAGGTGAGTTGGGAGGCGCTGGACGGGACCTAGTGGTTAAGCATACACCTGATGGAAAAGCCTTGGAGGGTCGGGTACATGTTTATAAGGCGCACGAGGCGATCAAGTTTCTTCCCAACCGATGGCACGAATCTGTTGGTGCTACCGGACAACAGCTGCTTTTGATCGGATACACACCTCGCAGCCTTCACAAGCTGTCACGGTCAGATCGTCAGTGGTTGTGGCACACTGGCTTCACCCTGTTACCTGCGAGTAAGGATGAGTTTTGGGGTTACAATCATAGTGCACAGGTGTTGACCAGGTATCACCCGGTCCCGAGACGGCAAATGTTTGTGCCCTCAGCACATGAGTGGTTGCCGTTTGATCGCGACTGGATTGGTGACATTAGATACTGTGTGCAGCAGTTTCAGAGTGGTGAGCCAGTGCGAACCACGCATACCTGGCGAGGGGGCCGGGGTAGGGCTTCTAAGTCCGCTTGGACTGGTTCGTCCTCTTTCAAACTTCGAGTTCCCGATCCCATTGCTGCAATCGGGGGGGGGGGGGCTTCTGCAAGTTCGACGGTGTCATCAGTGTCGAGAAGTTTGAAAATTTCGAAGCTTGAGGGTAGTGTTTTCGGAACTGCTCAGGGCCTTGGGGATAGTTTGCAGGAGGTCTCTATGAGAGAGCCTGAGTATCTGGAAATGCAAGAGGGACCTGCGGGTAATCAGGATCTGTGTGTTGAGGGGAGTAGCACTGAGGGTGTCGGCGATGGGACGCGTATGGCGAGGTCGCTGGGTCTCGGTCATGGTAGGAATCTCACCTTGGAGGGTTGTCCTGGGAGGTCGATGGTTAGTTTGCGCAGTCTGGGGGGTGGTGATTGCCTTCAGGTTGGGTACAGCAGGAACCTTCTCAAGGACAAGGGGATTGAGCCGATTGGGGATGGTGGTCGAAAGGTCACTGTCTGTGAGGAGTTTCCAAGTTCGTGTCCCGAAGCTGTTGCACTAAGGTGTTTGGCTATCGAACTTAGGAGGCTTCAGAAAATAATCGATGAAACCGACCAGTTGGATGGCGACTGTCTTGACGAGGGCTGTGTTAAGGAGGGAAGCATTGAGAGCTGGGGTTGTTTTCGGGTGCCGTGGCAAATCTGTGGACTGCAGCCCTGCCCGGTTACAGCCCTTGGTGATTCAGAACACATAGAGCTGTATGGCGTTGGCTGGCCGATCATGGCTGATGTTTCAGGTGTGCTGGATGAAGTTGCGACGCAGCATCAGAAGGTTTGTGCTCTTCTTCAGGCAGCGGAAGATGAATGCTGTGAGCAGGTTACTGGTAGTGTCGACAAGCTCTACTGGAGCGCTCTAGAGGCGCTGGAGTGCCAGGGGTGCGAGTTGCAAGGGTATGAAAGTCAGCTGTTGAATTCTGCGATGCCAGTTGTTCTGAAGAGCCTGTCAGTTGTCGATTCTGTGGTGACTGGCGAGGGAGAAGAGAGTGCGAAGACTGAAGGTTTGGACTCGGGGGGTGGAGACCTTTCTGATCCTCCACCTCTCCAAACAAAAATCATTGGAGCCGATCAGGTGCGCCGAGAGCCGGAAAAGTGGGTTCCTTCAATGAAAGAAGAGTACCAATCCCTTGTATCCCGAACTGGAGCTGTACAGGAGCTTTCAGACAGCCAATACAAACAGTTGCTTGAGGACCCAGGCGTCACATTGGAAGTCATTCCCGGAAAACTAGTATACGTCCACAAGTCGTCGGGAAGGCGAAAATCCCGAATAGTCGGGTGCGGCAATTATTGCCAGGGGGGAAGCAGCGAGCGAAGCGAGCTCTATGCGAGCGGGGCGGGGGCCGAATCGCTTCGCCTAATGATCCGTAGGTGTGCACTTCAGTCTGAGTGGGTGCTCGCGTCTGTGGATGTGCGAACGGCATTCCTTCAAGCACCGCTGCTTGAGCAGCAACGTGATGGCCGACGCCTTATCACCATAGTCCGCGTGCCCTCTATTTTGCGAGAGACAAGTGTGACAGATTGTAAGTTTTGGAGAGTGCAGAAAGCGCTCTACGGACTTGCATCAGCTCCAAAGTCCTGGTCCAGCTACCGGGACAAGGTTCTAGCTGGACTTCGTATTCCTTGCGAAGGGGGCGAGTTGCGCCTCTCAAAGATGATAGAAGACGCAAATCTGCTTCACATCATCAGGATTCCAGGTGGGGATGAGAATGTAAACTCAGAGGGCCAGAGGATTGGGATCATAGCTCTCTACGTGGATGATATATTGATTGGAGCTGAGCGATCAGTTTGTGAGGCGGTGATAAGAGCCTTGCAGGATCAGTGGGAGCTATCTTCGCCCGAATGGATTGCTGACACGGGAGATCAAATGAAGTTTGCAGGATATGAGCTTCAGAAGACTGCTGAAGGTATTCGTCTGCATCAAGAAAGCTATGTTCAGGATTTGCTTGAACAGAACGAAGAAGTCACGGGGACGGAGCGGACTCCGGCTGTGAAGATGGGTAGCTTTGATGATGTGGTTGATGAAGCTGAAAGGCGGGATCTCACGAAGAGGTCGCAAGGCCTGGTGGGTCAACTTTTGTGGTTGGCTGGACGTACAAGGCCTGATCTGGCCTACGCTGTTAGCATGGCGGCGCAAAAGATCGTGCCGTGTCCTCGTGAAGCCCTAGCGCGAGCAGAGCATGTAGTGAAGTACTTGAGGGGATCTCCTGGAGTTAGTCTTCATTACAAGGCAGCAGATGGCGATTGTGGAAGATGGGGGCAGCTGAGACATCGGCAGACAAGCACGACATTGGATGTTTATACGGACGCCTCGTTTGCAGCGGATGAACAGTGTAGAAGTTTTGGATCAGTGCATTTGTACTGGGCTGGAGCTCTGGTGTCGTGGGCTGCTGCTCGCCAAACCCTCATTGCTGCTCATACTGCTGAAAGCGAGCTTTATTCTCTTGCAGAAGGACATTTGATGGGTAAAGCCTTTAGACCCACTGTAGCTGCATTGATGGATGTGAGTGAGCAGGGAGTCACTTGTCACCTATATTGTGACAACGCGGCGGCAGTGCAGCTTTGCATCCTGGAATCGGGGTCGTGGAGGACACGGCATCTACGACTACGAGGGGCCATCATCAGACAGGACATTGAGAATGAAGTGTGGTCTCTAGCGCACCTAGATGGGGTTTATATGCCTGCAGATTTGGGCACGAAGCCAGTTGGACCAGCGAGGCTGGAAGATCTTATCAAGTTGTGTGACTTGTTGAATCCACATGTAAGTGCAAACGATGATCCTCCGAGACCCAGCGTAGCAGCTTTAAGGACGCAGCCGTCAGGATTCACTTCGATTCTTTTGGCTTTGCTGATGCTTGTGCAGGTTAATGGCGCGAAGGCTTTGGAAGGAAGTTTGCCAGAGTCAACTGGTACTACCTTGGTTTTCGGATTTGTGTTGGGATTAGGTGTTGGGTGTGGAGTTTATGTGGCTGAGGGTCTAGGGAGGCTTGCTGGCAGGTGTCTTCACAGGGTTAGAAAAGCCAGGATGAGATCATCATGCTCTGTGTCGAGTGAAGCATCCGGTGGTCAGTGCTTGCTGGTACAGTCTGTAGGTGTTCAAACCTCACCCGAACCCCTCCTCGCCATGCAACCGGGATTGAGCGAACGTACCGATGTGGAACGGGTCATGATTCCATTGGCATCAGGAGATTTGGTTCCTATCGAAGAAGCTACGTATGATGATATAAGGGATGCTTATTATGCTGATCTTCGCTCAGCGTATGAGAATGCGGAAGATGTGCCAGAGCATCTTCGCGAGGATGCTTTTCGACGGACGTTGATTGCAGGGTTGGGCTCACCTAGGATCCCTACTGTCGCTCGTCCCCCGAACTACCCTGCTGTGGATCATGAGGACCCTGCGCCGGTCGTTGAGCTAGAACACCAGGTGTATCAAGTAGGAGATGATGACATAAGTAGCTCTGAGGATTCAGATCAATCTCTGTCGATTGCTGGGAGCACTGCGACTGGGGGAGCTGTACGAACTGCTCGGTCGGGCAGTGATGGAGAGGGTTCGCCTAGTGGTGGGTCGAGCTCGAGTGGTCATGGTGCTACGTCTAGGTTGGTTGCTTTGAGTGTCGTCGCTCTTCCGCATGGGGCCAGGGGACATTCAGGAAGTGAGTTGAGTATGGGCGATGCTGAGGGGACTTGGGAGTTGTGGATAGTTTTGGGGTTGATTGTTTTAGTTAGCATGCTTTTAGGTGCTGGTTGTTTGTTTTTCGGATGGAAGTATTTTGGGGACAAGCGGATGAGTACTGGTAACACTTGTCATGCAGAGGGAGGAGCCGTCCCGAGTGAGACGCCAAGAGCGACTGGGAGCGATCGTGATCAACTAGCTTCGCCTGTGATAAATATCACGGTCACGGGAAGCACTGCAGAGACTAGGTGGAGTGGGTCAGAATCGTTTGTTTCTTCTGAGAGCATGAGCCAGGGGGAGCCTCGGGTTCAGATCCAGAAGTCCTCGCGCGGCGAGGGTAAAGGAGTGGGAACGGGTAAGAAGTCAGTCGAGGTTTTGTGTGGGGATCAAGCAACTTCAGGCGGTACGGGCCGGGTGGTATCCAGGGCGGAGGAACCTCAATTCTTGTACCCTAGTGGTTTAGGCCCTTCGGTGACCCGTGTGGAGGACCCTGACCTGTTAGACCCTAATGTTTTAGGCCCACAGGGTACTCGTCAGCGCATCAGGGTGGAGGGACCGGCAACTGGAGGAGGAGTCAAGACACCTCAACCTCTAGGCCCTAGTGGTTTAGTCCCAGCGGTGACCTGTGTGGAGGACCCTCGACCTGTAGACCCCGGTTTAGGCCCCGTGGTTACCCGTGTGCAGTATGATGGCGCTGGCAGCGCTAGTGCAGCAGAGGTGCGAGATCAGAACCCTGCAGAAGTCCCAAGGTTGCGCAGCAGTCTAGGGGCGTTACGACAGCGAGTCAATCGCTCCGGGACTGAAAGCAGGCCAGTTGAGATGGTTGGGCCAAGAGCTGCCCAGGCAACTCCGGATGTATTGGGCGGGTCACGGGAGCCTTTAGAATTTCCAGGTTTGGGTAACTTGAGGGAGCGGGTTCCATTGGATCGGTTTAGTCGACCTCAGGGTGTGAAGCAGAAAGTAATCCTCAGCTGTCGAGGTGAAGATCTGACCCCGTTTGTGTACTTGACGCAGCATGGTGGATGCTTACATAGCGGAACAGATTGCCCTCCCATGCGGTGTTCGGGGCAACCTATTCAACGTAGCCTGTGTAGGTATTGCTTTGAGGTTCAGGGTTCAGGCCTTCCTTCAAGAAGAGATGCGAGCGGAACCGACCGTGTTGTCTGCTTTACAAAATCCGGGCACTATGTACACGCAGCAGAAACATGCAGATGTCTCGATCGAGATGAGGAGATGCTGTATCGCAAGCTGTGTAGATGTTGCAGATGGGGGCCATGACCCTTTGTGCAGCAGCATGCAGTGGAATGGACTATCCATTGGGGGAGTGAGCATGCTCCTGAGGTCCTCTGTG